TTTTCTTGATCTGTAAATATTTTAACCATGCTTTGTAGTTTCTATATTTTGGAGAAATGTTAAAAAAGCAGGCATCAATATCTTTTAAGGTGGGGCAATTGGTTCATAGTAATATGGTCAAAGCCATGGCATCTCTGTTTTGTTGAGAAAATCCCATTTGGTTTGTTGTACGATCATGGTCAATCTGTCATCTCTGAAATTGCTCCACACTTCACCCATACACAAGGAATTCAACACTTATTTCTCCAGCACCACATTTTTGCATGTAGGCGGACTCTATATTTAGGCGGAGTAACTTTCTCACATTTCATGTCACCCATGGTTAAATAGTTTTGAGTAGTAAAGTGGTGACATAATTCACTTCACCCACAGAAAAAAGGTGAGTAGTGCTTTTATTGTTATGAGTATATGAAGGTTCCCTTTGAAAGCATTGTATCACTAATTGTCGACAGATGCATTTCATACCTCAGTATTTCTTAACAGTTTCACATCTAATGCAATTTTTTTTCACAAGTACTTACTCGGAGAGGGAGTGTGCTTGGAAGTCAGAAAAGCCATATGTTAAGCAGGTCAACCCATTTTTGTTGAGAGGGGTGTGTGGCAGGTTTTTTACAATCTGACCATAAAATGCCTGTCATTGTAAGCAGTGTATGAATAATGTAGATTTAGAAACAAAAGTTGAAAATCTTCCCATTTATTTCATGTTAAAAAAAATACAGGATGAGAACTCTTTCACAAAATTGTTGGATTTCTGTTGAGGGTGCAATTTACAATGGCCCAGAACAGCTGAGGTGGTCTCTAGTGAGGTGGGCTGCCTCACAATTGATGTAGGCAGAAGAAAACTTGGGAGATCCCGTATCAGTGCACTTTTTGAAGGACTTCTGTTACCTGGGTTTCATCTCAACTGAGTGCCTCTGTAGAAAATGATGATGAAGGAATTTGTGTGCTAAATTGCACAGATCAGCTGAGAACCAGTTACTAAACAGTATTCATCTTGGCATAGTTTTGTTGGTAACCTGCCTCTGCTAAGCAGCCATTCGCAGCGCTTAACAAATTTCAGTACTTCACAAATCTGCCAAATTGGTCGCTGCTCTGAGCCTTGGTAACCCCTTAACCGTAATGTTGTTTTCTGTTCCAAGTGTCTTCTGAGGAGAATATTGCCAAGCATCAGGACTTGTTTTTCTGGCCTAATTGTCAGACTGCTGTACATTTCTCGTTCTTCTAGAAATAGCATGGAATATATTCTTTTCAACATGACATTGTGTTTATCTCAGACTTTGACAGATGGTCTTCTCATATTGATTCCCCCCCCCTTCCACTTCCATTTGAAGCTGATCCTGTCAAACAAATTAATCATTTTTGGGCTTGCGGTTCTATAAATCCTCATTGAAGAAATTTGCAGTGGCCACCTTGGGATACCATAACCATACCTGCAGTTCTTTCTTCTCTGGCTCTTGCTCAAAAAAGGAAAATTGTCCCATAAATCTCTTCACCTGTGGGCTTTTTCCCCTTTCCAACTTTCCAAATCGAAGATGTTGGACATTAAAGGGTTGGTTCAGTTTGCCCGACCACCTTCAAATAAATAAAATTACGGAGCCTGGAGTCAGGCCCAGTTTGGCCAGGTCCTGGCCATTAGCAAGTTGTCTTTTTACAATGCTTTGGGGGGATTTTATCGCCCCTGTGCTGTAAATGATTTGTTTTGAGCCCACTTCTGCCTTTGTTGTCAACTTGCGATTGAAATCATGCTTGTTAGCAAATGGTCATGGACTTTTCATATTACCAGGGGTGTCAATTGCAAGACATTTGATAAGTTGCTTTAAATTTGTATAATACGTCCAGAAAAAAAGATAAAATTTAATAACCTCATCAGTAGGACTTTGGAATTCTTTTCTAGATCAAGACTTAATCTTAATCTTCATATTAATCTTTGGCTTGGATCAGTTTTGTTCCGACCCGAAGATTTTTCTCTTTGTTCAAAGCTTCTGCCAGTCCCGTGACAAATTACCCTGGTTAGGGTAATCTGTTTCCCACCAATCCTCTTTGGAGCCAGAGTTTAAAAATCTCAGCTCCAAACAATCCTGAGCATGGCCCATTTAAACAGCGGTTCATGTTGAAGATCTTCAAAATTGCCTGAAGGCATTAAATCTAAGGTGTAGCTGCACAGAGGCCAGTCAACCTCGAAAATTGAATTGTAGACAATCAATATATTGGTCAGGAAATGGTTCGCACAGAAAAGTTGCCGTCATTATCATAACAGCTGGTGCCTTCCGCTAAATGTTGGCTTCCATTAGGAAAATCTATGTGAGACCGGTTACTCGTTGAAGTCAAATATTTGTCCGTTGGAGGAACCCAATCAATTTGTCATTTACTTTTTTTTTTTAATTGGTCTCGGGAAAAGATAGAGTTTGGGATAAAGGAACTTGTCTTCCTGGAGTGCAGATTTTCAATGCATGAATCTGCACAGTATTCAAATGGTAATTCTGTGCAGGCTTACAAAATACAATAGAATATAAATAATTCCCTGCACCACAAAAAAAAGAACGAAAACAAAAATACATGGTGCCAGTATTGACCATGATGCTCTGCATGAAATCAACTGCTCGCATGAGATAAAAGAAAAGATTTGAAATTTTAAGCAAATAGTTTCCATGTGAAATGAGATTCAAGGATTGTTGTGCCAAAAAAATTGTCAGGAAATTGAAAAAAATAAGAAAGAAAGTGGGCAAGAGTTGAAAAACTCAATGCATGCTTGTTCCAAAACTGTGAGTTTTTTAAAACTTATTTCAGTCTCTTTCCTTTTACTTCCCTGGATGTACCTCTTCCAAAAAAAGGCCCCCTAAAAAACCAACAAAAGAACAAAATCTTGCCAGCAGGCCTGTGACAGACAGACATCTGTAAATAAACAATCCCCAAGCCTCGTTTCTGAAAATATTGCTCAAATATATAAACAGCCCTCACCTGGCGACTGACGGGAATGAAATTTATACCACACCGCCCGCCTTGACAAGTGACTATCAGAAGGGAGGTTCAATGACCAAGCTCGTCTTCAGGGAGTGTGCCAGAAGATATGGAACAGAAGAGAAAAGATTCTCAATCAATTTACTTGTCACCGACTTTGTAATCTCCAGAAAAAAAAAATTATCGTGAGGTTCATGTTACCACCATCAAAAAAGCTTTTAACATTCCTCAGGCAAACATCCATCATTCCCCAGGCATCCACCATTGGACCATTTTAGGACCACTTTTTTGTCCCTCGGCAAAGCCTCTTCAGTCATAATTCATCCCAGGGTCCCTGGTCCTCAGCCAGGGTACCAGTACAGCCCAATTAGGGATGTATCTGAGCTTCCACTTAATGCCACTGCATCAAGTCAATCCCATTGAAAATTTGTAGTTTGAGAAGAGCAATTTACACCTGACCCCTCAGTTTTCTCTTTTGAAATTAAGGTCAGGTATGTTCTCATCATCGACCCCCCTTGCTTCCCTCCAAAAATTTGATTTGAAGATTTGAAAATCAGCAATTGTAGTATTTTGATTCTGTTGTTTACTTGTTCTTCTTACGTGGTTTAAGTATGATGCTGTGCATGGCACTCTACAAGGCGTGAGGCACAGTGGGTTGCATGCAGTGCATGGGTTACTAGTGAAGAAAAATTGTGCGTACACTACAATGCACTGCGGCTGTAACATTGCATTAAGTTTCATAGTATACAAGGTCATTTGAGTCACGTACACTTGCTGCTCACAGCCTATGCTTTTAAGGGGGTCTACCCATTATCACTTTTAGTTACCAGGCATAGTGCTTTTCCGCACCTGCAAGTTGCAAGGGCAGAGATTCAGACCACAGTGTATATGGTTGACAACGTGTGGCCCCAAGTATCTCTAACATCCGGGCATCTCTGCTAGTGATTCCGGTCCACCCGGTTTAGCGCGATATAGCACACGATACCTCCTGAAGCTATGTGGATGTGTGTATACCATCTCCCCTGCTAAATAAAAATGATTTGTAGCACAAATTGCAAGAAAAGACAGAACTGGGTTAGGAGAGAACCAACACCAACTAACTGCCAAATGATCCTAGGTAGGGGGAGACAGGGTCATACACTTGCCTAGAATTGAAAGTACACAGGCAGCACTCCTCTATCTCGAGGCGTTAGTGGAACCAAGAGTCCTTATAATGTAACAAACCATGACAAGAGTCAACAATTGGGACTTTTCTAGAATCCCTAGTGAGTTTGAAGTCAAAAACAAGACACCCACAAGTTCAAAGAGCTGGCGTATTGACAGGTGGTTGGTTGGGTGTACTCTGTCTTTTTATCTCAGTTTTTCCCCCCTTTCCCTGTCTCTGTGGTTTGACTGTTACCCCTGATTGCATTCCTCATCTCCTTGGTCGCCATGGGATTTATGGCCCCGCAATATATATGCATGTGTGGTGAACGTCCATCTGTACTGGTAGTAGCAAGAATTTCATGAGAGTTGCTTTGCTGCTTGCCTTGGAACAGTGCCAGTGTTTTGGAAAAAGTAGGGGCCTGCTTTTAGAGTACACATTGTCTTTTTGACAGCTTTCCATATATCGCAGTGTTCACTCTTCATAATCAATTATGAGTTTCTGCATGTGACATTGAATAAAATGTCTGTACTTTACACCAGGTAACTTTTTTTGCTAAGCAGGGTGGCTTCGTGAGGTCATACATTGAGGAAACAGAACCCAGACCTTTTAGTAAATTGTTGATAGAAGCTGTGTGTAGCATACCAATCACATCAGTATGAGGTTCTGGATTGAAACTAGTCAAGCTTTTTAAAAATAATTTTAGCTACAAAAAAGACAAATTAATTGCTACATTGCAATATTTTGGGTGTTGTTACTCGCTTTGTGTTATATAAGGGAATTTCATAAGCTCACAAATGTTCATTAAATGTGGCAAGTTGTAAGTATCCACGGAGTACACCGAGAAACTTAGTTGGGCTGACGATGCCAGTTTTCGTGTCTCCTTTTTTTCCTTTAGAATCTCAACCTGGAGACCGAGCTGACGGCTGCTAACGGACAGAGACTCCCCGCCATCAAAGTGTTTGAGCACGCACTGCGCTTCTTCCGAGAGCATGCCGTGGAGGAGCTGTGCGACCAGTCCAACGACGGCCGGTTTGACCCGGGCGAAATCCGCTGGGTGCTGACCGTCCCTGCCATTTGGAAGCAGCCGGCCAAGCAGTTCATGAGGGAGGCAGCCTACAGGGTAAATCCAAGCTTTTTTTTTTTCCTCTGTCAATAATTTTTGAGATGGTTTCGTTCTCTTTGTCTCAAAACTTGGACCGCTCCTGGTCCTTTTGAAGTTCTCTGTTGATTGGGAACTGGCTAAATTCTTGGTAGGCATGCAGCCTTGTCTGAAATGAGTGGCTGAGGTTGAGGCTAGTACTCACAACCATGGGAAGTGAATGCAGCCTGATATTATCTCAAGCCACTGCCGTAACATTCAGACACGGCTTATAGCCGGTTGGAATAGGCTGAGGCCAAATCAGCAAACACATTCATAAACAGATGTTGATATGGGAACCCGCCGTTCCCACATGGTGTTTCTTGTTTCCAATGGTAACAGTTCGTTTTTCCAAAGTTCGAAATCTGAGTTTTGAGGTTCACCTAGACTCTTACTCGTCGATTGACTGTTGCCTGCCGCAAAGTTTTTTCAACTTTTTGGGGTATTTGTAAAAAATTTCAGGCGGGCCTGGCCTCACCCTCCTTCCCAGAGCAGCTGCTGATTGCCCTGGAGCCTGAGGCAGCCTCCATCTGCATCCGGAAGTTGAGGATGAGGGAGCTGGTGCCGGAGCATCTCTCACAGCGTCGGAAGTGGATGAGGGACAATCCGGAGAAGTCCAACAGCCAGGTGGCGGAAAACATCAGACACGGTAGGTTGGAAAAGAGTCGGGATACTATACTGTTTCAGAAACCACTGAAGTTCAAGAAAAAAACCATTCAACTCCCTGAATGGAATACTAAAGGACTGGGGAAAAAAAGAACTAAAAGTCACAAAATTTTCTCACACCAAGATTAAGGGTTTCAGTGGAAAGGGCTTGTTTTTTAAACAGTGGTTTCAGTGCTGCGTCTTTTTGTACAAAGTTAACTTTGGGTTCAGTAAAATGAGACGTCTGCTGAACAATTAGCCGGCTCACTCATCTACGTAGTTTTGAAAGTTTGAGGAATCGCACATTATTTGGTCGATTCAGTGCAAAAACAAATGGCCAGTAAAAGAGGATAATTAAACCGCGAAGCTATTCTGTTGGTGCACATTTCAGACTTTTACAAAAATTTCAAACTGGACAGGGGAGGATGCGTGTTTAAATACAGTCAGTTTGAAGATAGTGTGTAAATGCTTGGGTGTGATATTGCCGATATTGCCTCGACTGGTATCCTACCAATAGCTGTACAATGTGATTTGTCCAGCGGGAATTGAACAGGGCTTTGTTTGTGGGAATCCAGGCCAGTGGTTAGACACGTGCTGCTTAGTACATGGGTGTGCTCAGTGGTGTTTGCTAAACCGGGGCAGATTTTGGCATTTCTTGGCCTGCAGTGAGTCCCTCGTTGCCGGTAGGCCTGTTTTTCTGCCCCCCTCGGCGAGGCCGGGGGAACAAAGATAGCCATTCATGCTGTGGTCATTGGTGTGGTTCCCCATATATCAGTCATGTTCAATTCTATTGGGACCAGGGATGATGCCCTTTCAAAAGAGGGAAAGTTGAATTTTGTTTATGAGTCCGGGAACAAATGTGTGTTTGTTGTAGGAGGAAGGTTTTTCTTGTGGGGGTGGGGTCTTTTTTTTTGTCGGAACTTAACTTTTCCAGGCAAGGGAAAAGTGACATCTTGTGGAAACAGTATACATAGAGAAGACAAACTATTTTTTTTTTTAAATTTGTGCTAGTATTTATTTCTTGAGTCTGGTGCCTGCCTGAATTGTCAAAAAAGAACCGCCAAAACAGAAAGAAATTTGAGAGCTTTGGATCAGAGTTGCTTTAAAAAACCAATGGTTACAACTCTAGAGGCTTTAATGCATCAATAACCACTCAACCTGGTTCTCCACCCATGTCACTTCACAGCATCCAGCCCAACTACTGGTAAGGCCTGCCCCAAGGTACCCTAGGATCAATGTGCTCCCTCCGGGGATTCGCACAAAATCCTTCTTTTTTTTTTGCTCCTGTAAATCCGGTCATCCATCTCTGTCTGTGTGCAGCTGTGCCGTGACTCCTAAAAGTCAAGTTTCCAGATTTTCTGATGACCAGGACCCTCCCAATCCCAGGTCGTTGGCCCCCAGAAAGTACATTGTGTTCTCCTCCAAAGAAATCCCCCAAAGTGGGGACTGTGTCGGTTATTTTATTCTTATTTAGTGTTGACCTGAACCATCAGTTCCGATCATGTTTCAGTCATATTTCTGGTCAAAATTTGAATCAAGATGGCTGATAAATTCTTATCAAGTTTTTGTGTATTTTGTGGACCCAGTAGTCAAGGGATCTGATGCAGCGTTTTGGGGGGCTCTTGCCTGGAAGATGTTAACCACTTCTTGCCAGGTTGCCCGGAACCAGAGACTTTGGCTTTATATGCAAAGCCAGGGTGCCCGAAATCGGACAAAGGAGTTTGACCTTGTAACAAAGACCGTACTCGGAACAAAAGACAGGGCTGCTGGGAATTGCCAACATTTTTCAGTCGTCAGTAGTGGAGGAAGTCTGTCCTTATTTTGAGAGATTGTATTACTGTTTGTGGCATTCAGTGCGAGCGGATTACCACTTGGGACAAAAGCACTCCAGTGCTCCTGGGAAGAGCAATACAATACCGCTGCATGCTAATCTGGTCCGCTTTTGAAAAGGCCTGGCTGAAATACTCGGGTGTCTATAGATGTTGTTTGTCGGATTAGAGTAGCCACCAGACAGTCATTTGTGTGGACGTAAACATCCAGTAAATAAAGTTACTGAATTTTTGAAGAATTTTGAAATGGAAAATCTTTGAAATCCCCCGGGAATATGTCATGTACATGTAACTTCAAATTAAACCCAGCAGCATATGGTTAAAGGGACAGCTGAATATGGGCGATTCACTATAGTGTGCCTCCAAGATTAAGCAACAAGTTGAACAATCACAGTGTGCAAAATCGATCGACCATTTCCAAATGCATATTTGGTCGACAAATTCCGCGCATTGTGATTGGTCAACACATTGCAAACTCTTGGAAGTGCACTACTGTGAATCGTCTGTATTGGATGAGAGTTTCCTCTTTTCTCGAAATTCACTTGTTTGAGGACCTCAGGGATCTGATGCTGCAACTTGGCGGGGGGGAGGGGTGTCAGACCCCGGGTGAGATCAGGGCCCCATATGGTCCCTTAAAATGATTCCTACCCCCATCTCCCCCCTTAAAACTCCAGGAACCCGCTACATGGTGGTGGACTGTGGTGGGGGCACTGTGGACATCACCGTCCACGAGGTGGAGGAGGACGAAGGGGGCTCGCTGAAGGAGCTGCACAAGGCATCGGGCGGCATGTACGGCTCGGTCTGCGTGGACGCCGAGTTTGAGAAGCTCCTGGTAGAAATTTTCGGCGAGGACTTCATCGAGGAGTTTAAGGTGATCCAGTGGGATTCAGACCCTGAACCTAGAGAATTCTGCTCCAACAACTCGGATAACTTACTCGGTTTTTAATTTTTATTTAGGGGGCATTTCCATCAACTGTGATTTGAGTAATAAGAATTTTTCTTTGGGAAAAAAGTAAATAGGCATCAGGTGAATGATCTTTATTGAAGGTGGAGCAATGTAGTTAAACCAAGATGGCTTCGTGGCGGCATTAGGGAGTGTCTCAAAAGTTGGAACGCTATACAATGTTCCCAACTAAGATCACTTGTCAATTGGGAACCACAGTGTTTAGAAAAGTGAGAACAGAGATGTACCAGCTTATGAGATAGTACCGTCATGACCCTTGTTTGCTGTGGAACACTCTTTTTATCGTTTTACAATCACGTCTGTGTTCCTGGTTTCCCTCCAGATCAAGAGGCCCGCAGGCTGGGTGGACCTCATGATTGCCTTTGAGTCACGCAAGCGCAACGTCAACCCCTACAAGAACAACCCTCTGAACGTCTCCCTGCCCTTCTCCTTCATCGACTACTATAAGAAGTACACTAGAGAGACGAGCACCGTGGAGGATGCCATCTGGAACTACCGAAGCCAAAATGTGACATGGTCGGCCCAAGGTATTGGAACAACTCAGCATGGAATTCCCTCCACACCCCAGTTTTAGGAACCGCACGGAAATACTTAAAATTAGTTCTGGGCAACTGGGCAAGATCACATGTGATCATGATACAGTTTTTTCTTTACAGAGGACAGACGACTTTCTGGAAGTGTGATTGCTGTTGCTCATATAGTCTCTTACAAGTAGCATTAAATAAAAGTTTTATTTCAGCATAAGAACATGGCTTCTCCTGACCTTTAACCAAGCTTTTTCATATGATAGTTGTATGTAAAAAGAAAAACTTAAAGTTGTATTCGAACCTACAGACTCCTGAATGCTAACAGGTGCTTTACCGTTGGAGCTATCTAGCCTCATTTTTGAGGTCTCCAAATTAACTGCTAACAAATTGTAGAAACTGCCTGTGTGCGACATGATTGCTCAAGTGATGAAGTGCTGGTTACTGAATTTGACAATGAATTGGATGTTCAAAGTAATATTTTTGATTAGTCCGGCATCATAAGGGTATAAAAAAAAAACTCATGTGGCACCTGAGTTTCTGATTTTTCGTATGTTGAGTTCCAGGTATGCTGCGTTTCACTCCAGAGGGCATGCAGCAACTCTTCAGGCCAGCAGTTGCAAGTATCATTTCCCTCGTTGAAGGACTACTGAACGAACCACAGCTAAAGGTTAGAATTTGGCCGTGGTTCTTCTTGTTTTGTATATTTTGAAAAAAAGACGCAGATTGTTTAAAAGTGAAGTAATAAGGTCTGTCGTGATCCAGTTTGGCCCATCAGGGCAGCGTTTATCCCTGGTTTTTGTTGATGAAGCAATTAAGAATGATCTATCCCCCCCCGGACAGGATGGTATTCTAACACAAGTTGCTCCCCAGCTAATGACCATGTAGCATACACTTAGTAGCTGGATTCGAACCCCTGACCTTCTTATCGTGAGTCATGACTCCTAACCACAGGGCTATACTCCCTATAAAACGGAAAAGGTTAAGGCCATTTCATACAGATAAGTGCTAATTTATTTTAATGCCCCTTGTCCGTCCAGGGGGTGTCCTACCTATTTCTAGCGGGAGGCTTTGCACAGTCCCCTCTCCTGCAGAACCAGATGAGGAAGAAGTTTGCCAGCCGCCTGCGGGTGATCATCCCCCGGGACGTGGGGCTGACCATTCTGAAGGGGGCAGTCATGTTTGGGCTGGACCCCACGGCGGTGCGCGTCCGGCGCTCCCGGCTTACCTACGGCGTGGGCGTTCTGAACAAGTTTGTCCCCGCCCGCCACCCCAGGGAGAAGCAGGTGGTCAAGGACAAAGTGGAGTGGTGCAAGGACATCTTCGATACGTACGTCCAGGCCGACCAGTCAGTGGCGGTGGGCGACATGGTCACGCGCAGCTACACGCCGGCCAAACCCAGCCAGAAGGCCATCGTCATCAACATCTACTGCACAGAACGAGACAAGGTGGACTTCATCACCGACCGGGGGGTCCACAAGTGTGGCACGCTTCACATCGATGTGTCGGACGCTCCGCCCAGTGGCGCCAGCCCTGCCAAACGGCGAGAGCTGCAGCTCACCATGCAGTTCGGGGACACAGAGATAAAGGTCAGCGCTCTTGATGTGCCCACCGGCAAATGCGTCAAGGCAAACATTGATTTCCTCAGCAAGTAACCCAGGTATGAGAGCAAGCTGGCAAGATGACATCCAAAGCACACTTTTACCTTCCTTAGTTTGCTGCCCAACTTCGGACATGGAAATGAGTTTGACTGGGCCACCCTCAAACCCTCCCCCCCACCAAATATGAAAAAGCACTGATGAGCAACTGGTGTATTCAACAAATGTTACATAAGCAAAGTACTGCAGTGTTGAATGTCGGAATCAATTTCTTCAAGTGTAACTCTGATCAGAGACTTGAAATGTGTGCGTTACTCCCTCAGTGATTTCTTTGCTGCAAGTTTTGTGAGAGGAAAGTCACGCAATACAGGAAATTGTCAGTTGTCATCTTTGGCAGGCCTAGTTTACACTACAGGGTAGACCCACCTCGGTGTGGGCATGACTTGCTGTAGCTTTATTCGGGTGAAATTGTCCACCAAACTCAAGATTCTAGTCAAGGGAACAAAATTATTTCAGTTGCCTCCATTTTAAAATGCAATAGATATTCAGGCTGAACCCCTCAAAAATATGGCTTCGGGGTCGAAATGCCAACCAGTCATGGGCTGAATGCTCCAAGTAGGCCATTTTTTAACAAAAAAGGGACAAAATGATTTACCTCAATTCCTTGCTCTGGGTAATAGATAGTTAGCCCCATCCATAGCCACCAAAAAAGGGAGAGTCAAGAGAGAGCTGAATGCTGGGGTTGTAGTTAGCCCCTGGAAGTCGTCAGGGTTTTTGAAATTATTTTTTAATTAAATTTAAATGGAATTGGAACAAAATGTAACTCGCTTGGAACTGTGTTTCCAAATTTTGAACTTGCTGTTCAAGTCTCATTGATAGCTTATTTGAATATATTATTGTCTAATGTATTCCTCTAGCTTTCTATCTCAAATTATTGGTACTGCATTTAGGTATTAAGAGTAGACTTAACTGCAAATTGACACGACAGTGCCGATTTCTGCATATTGACACTTCTGAAGTTGTAGAGCAGGGTAAGAAATTAGAATGCAAATTCAAATCTGGTCAAGTAGATCCTCCCACCCCGAGTAGTTCTAAAGGTACGTTGATAAAAAAAATTTGAACTTTGTCTTTGTTACTTTTACTCTACCTCTTGAAATTATTTCACATCTTATTTGCTCTGTGGAAAAAAGGTCATGTGCCCAGGAGTTGATGATTTGATGTGAAATGAACAAAAACAGGGTGCCATGTACAGAGTCATCTTTGTTTGAACATTTTTTGTTTGACTTTTGTTTTGGTCAACTTTTTACCTCAAGTTGTCCATGTACATGTATGTACTTAGCCAACTTGTCCTGATTGAAAAGAGTGTTACGTACTTGTACATTATTGGGACATCGATTTTCAGATTTTTCAAGATATTTTTTGGAGTTTTCTGTTACGAATGAATCTGTTGACGACGTACTGCACACTCAGTGCTCTCTGAAAGCTTACAAGTGTAAACTTCAGAAATTCTCTGGGATTGGATCATTTCTAAGGGCTCTCTGAGATACCCCTCCTCAGAAAAGGTTCAAGGCTTTGTCAGAAATCCTGTAGAACGAAACAGCTGGGTCGATAGAACATCTGTGTTCAGTGCTCTTGAGATTACCAATTCAAACCGTACCCTTGCATTGAAAGAAAAAAAAGAAAGGGAAAAGAAAAAAAAATGAGTGGGAAACATTAGTAACATGTCTACTGCAATTCATTTTTTTCAGAGTTTTCGGAGGCCCCAAATCCTCAAAAATTCCTGTTTTGTAAATATGTTAATTATCAATGGATGTGATGAATTTTTACAGGCAATTTCAAGACTAGGTAATGCGACAAAAATCAGCAAACCAATTTAATTGCAGATATGAAGTGCAGTCAATAAATTAGAATTAATGTAATAAACCAAAGGAAGAATGTTACAAAAGCACTAGTACAAATAGATGGAGAAATTAATGAGTGTATTCATGTAGCAACTCAGTATAGTATCTTGCCAGTGTTTATATATTCAGGCACGGAAATGTAATCTTGCCGTATACTAACACCTATTCGTAAAATGTTTGGCTAAAAAAAATACATAACGTGAAAACAACGTTTACAGGAATCTTTTAATGTATATAATGATTTGTTGATTTTTTTAAGCAGTTGGAAGTTGGATTGAAGCATTCGAGGGAGTGAGGGCATACTGTTTATCGCGCCAAGAGTTGTAATCAAAAATTATCAGGTCAGTCAAGTGACAAGCTATCTCTAATGAAGCTTGCAAGAGGCACTGGTAAATTTGTCCTAGTTTGATCCCATTTAGCTGGACTGGTAACTTGACTCATGACTTTCTTGGTTTCAACGTGATTGCTGAGTAGATATTTACCTATTTACTTGTTGGTTTGGCTAACAGCATATAAGTTATCTTGCAATGGTGGGAAATGTTGAAAGTGTATACTTCTCTGAGGGTTGAATTCAGTTGGACTGCTGTATATTGACTCAGACTCACTGTCTTAGGCTGCAGACGGAGAAGGTCTCATGACCGCGTGTCAGTTTCACCAAAGATTTTGAAGGATGCATTGTGGGTAGCTTTTTAGCCTCGCCTGTGAGAATAGCGCCTATTCATGTGACATGTTGATCATTGATGATCCATTGTCACCAGATTCACAAATGAAATGAGAATTTCTTTAAAAAGTTGCCAGAGCTCTAAAATTGTCACAAGTGCCTTTCGATTGAGTTGAGTGTTTAAGTGAGTGTATAATCTTGTTTTATATTGGTGAAATTTAAATTTTACAGCAGATATTGTATTCAATGAAATGTAGAACAGTTTATCGATTTTGTTAAGAACTGAAAAAAAGTGTCCAAGGATATTTTTTTCAGTTCAAAAAATGACCAAAGTACAAGTATACACCCGATAACGTATAGTGAAGTTTTAGCTTTAGATGGATTTGTGAGCTCTGAGTTTGAATAGTGGGTTGTAGAAAAACGGGTTTATTTTGATTTGAACTGTTGCCAGTTACAGGGTTTAATTTATTTAGAT